ATAGCGATGTTAGAAAGTTTTACTTTAGCATGAGAGTATTGGGAAAATGGAATGAACTAAAGGAGCAGGTTGTGGAAGCAAACACAATTCATTGTTTTAAAACTATATATGATAGAGAAGTAGGACAGGAGTCATTGCTGTAAACTACCGGCGGCTAGAAAGGCGGGAGCCAAGAGCCAGTGTTCGATCCTGCAGGCACATATAGGTGAGTACACACACACACACAGAAGATAGAAGCAAAAAGAGGAGATATGATGATCATCACTTACAAAATAATAAGAGGAATCGACCTAATTGACAAAGACTAATTCCTAAAACCGACAAACTCAAAAACTAAGAGGTCACAGAGTCGAGCTAAGAAAACAAAAGCACCAAAAAAATATTAGAAAGTTTTGTTTTGTAAACAGAGCGGCAGACGGTTGGAACAAGCTAAGTGAGAAGGTGGTGGAGGCCAAAACCGTCACTAGTTTCAAAATGTTATACGACAAAGAGTGCTGGGAAGACGGGACACCACGAGCGTGGCTCTCATCTTGTAACTACACTTTGGTAATTACACTCGTGTCCTCGGGTTGGTGTGTTGGGGGAGCCTCGTGGCTGGGTGGTCAGCGCTCGAGGGGTCGTAGTCCTAAGGGACCGGGTTTGACTCCCTGTCATGACAGAAACAAATAAACAGAGTTTCTTTTACCCTGATGTCCCTGTTCACCTAGCAGTTAGACAGGTGCTACGGGCTACTTCCTGGATATGTGTGTGTATATGTGCTAGAGATAAATATATGTAGTAGACATAATAGAAGAAAAAATAGATTGGTTAGAAAGGCGGGGTCCAGGAGCAAATAGCTCGATTCTGCAGACACAAATAGTAAATACACACACGGAGGACACTCAAAGGGTTGGTTTGCGACCCAGGCAGAGCCGACTCCAGCGCCCGAGGCAAGAGACCAGAATTTCAATCAAGAAACATGATGATTGTGAGGATGGGGTGTGGAGGGTGAGGGAGGGAGGGAGGGTGTATGTGTGTGTGAGGGAGTGTACTCAGCTACTTGTGCTTGCGGGGGTTGAGCTCCGGCTCTTTGGTCCCACGTCTCAACTGTCAGTCAACTGGTGTACAGGTTCCTGAGCCTACTGGGCTCTATCATATCTACATTTGAAACTGTGTATGGAGTCAGCCTCCACCACATCACTGCCTAATGCATTCCATCTGTTAACTACTCTGACACTGAAAAAGTTCTTTCTAACGTCTCTGTGGTTCATTTGGGTACTCAGTTTCCACCTGTGTCCCCTTGTTTGTGTACCACCCGTGTTAAACAGCTTATCTTTATCTACCCTGTCAAATCCTCTGAGAATTTTGTAGGCAGTGATAATGTCTCCCAGTGTCACGCAGCCTTTCCTCGTAACTCGTGCCTCTTAGTTCTGGGACTAGCCTAGTGGCATACCTCTGAACTTTTTCCAGCTCGCCTTGTGCTTGACAAGGTACGGGTTCCACGCTGGGGCCGCATACTTTAGGATTGGTCTTACATATGTGGTATACAAGGTGTGTGTATTCACCTAATTATATTCATCTAGTTGTGCTTGCAGGGGTTGAGCTCTGCTCTTTCGGCCCACCTCTCAACTGTTACTACAAATTTTTTTCACACACACCCAGGAAGCAGCCAATAACAGCTGTCTAACTCCCAGATACCTATTTACTACTAGGTAACAGTGGCATCAGGGTGAAAGAAACTCTGCCCATTGTTACTCGTCGGTGCCGGGAATTTCACTATTCCCTAAGATATGAATTTCCCATATTCACCAAGATGTGTGTGTGTGTATACTCATCTAGTTGTGCTTGCGGGGGTTGAGCTTCATCTCTTTGGTCTTCTCTCAACCGTCAATCAACTGGTGTACAGATTCCAGAGCCTACTGGGCTGTATCATATCTACACTTGACACTATGTATGGAGTCTGCCTCCACCACATCACTTCCTAGTGCATTCCATTTATTAACTCTTATTTTCTGCCCGAAACGCTTTGCGTAATAGTGGCTTTAGGCATTGTATGTACTAGCTCTATCTATAAAGCCAACAAACATTGTAAAATCTCTATGTATGTACCTTTACCTAAATAAAAATTATTATTATTATTATTATTATTATAACTACTCTGACACTGAAAAAATTCTAATGTCTCTGTGGCTCATTTGGGTACTAAGTTCCCACCTGTGTCCTTTTGTTCGAGTTCTACCCATGCTTAAGAGTTTGTCTTTGTCCACGTACGTACATATGTGAAGGGTGAAGGAAGGGGGGGGGGTGTGTGTGGAGTGTGAATGGGTGTGTGTGGAGGGCAAGTGACTGTGTGTGTGTGTGTGTGTGTGTGTAGGGGGAAGAGGATGAGGATGTGTGTCATGATTGAAACTTTCTTAAGTTAAATTTGTGTGCAAATATATTGCTAAAACTAACACCCACATACACATGCCTTTTACCATCCTTACCAAATCTTCCCATCTGTAGTCTGCACACCTACCTAGCATCCACAACACTACTGAACTGCATATTTAGTGTAGAGGACTGCATATTAAGGACAACTATTGTTAATCTTGCATCCACTCTTCGTTAGTGTGTCATGAAAGTGAATAAACAAAAAACATGTTTAACAAACTTTATTTGAAGTTCTACCTGCTAACTTTTCTTAAATACTGTACTGTACTTTATAAGGCTTCTTGGAATCATAATTTCTGAATAACATTTAAATTATATATTAGTTCCTAAGATTTGTAAATTCTTACATCCAGCAAATATCATAGTGGATTACTTAACAACAATGAACAGTGCTGGTCGACAACACCATCAATTAAAAACTATAATACTTATAAGAATTAACTACTTAGTTGCCTAAACAGAATATGGAATGAAATATGAACAATTTGACACACAATATGAAAGTGGCATCACATAAGGCCCATTATCATCTACACAAAAAACAACCTGAGCTTAGTAGCTTCCACAACCATTGTATTAATTCTTCTTATTCAATATATAGGCCACAATTTTACATTAGATGTGCAATTGACATTTGGTCGTATGAAGTAGACTTAGAACTTGTAGATTAGGTAGTATCTGCCCTAACAAATATTTTGTGATATTATAGCTAGACAATTTATTTTTACCCTTTAGTATTACAATGATGTTACCAATAACAAATGCATAAAGCTATTAAAACAAGATAATAACTTGCACAGAGAGATGGAAAGCACACCAAGTGCCATGTTACCAATATTTTCTCAATACTGAAGACTAGTTTAACATATTATTTATTACCTGACCTTTCTCTTTCCTTTCTGACCAATTCTTTGTCCTCAGAATAAAGCTTAGAACAGAAACTTGTTACACTATTTAAAATTATCAATAATCTTTTTTTTCAAATTCAAACAAATTTAAGACTTTCTAATATTTAAGTAACACACAAACACATTCATACTATATTTTTAAAAGGACAAAATAGCAAGTCCCAACAGAATGTTCCTCTACCAGAGATGAGAAATACTTCTTGACCGTGACAACTATACCTACCATAACACATTAGGTAAATAATGTCACAAAGCAAAAAACATTTAACAGTTATCAATATTTTGATTCAACTAAAATGGCCGTCTTAGTCTCAAACATGCAAGTCAATACTCACCAGCAATATTACTTCCCTTTTACAGTACACGACGATAGATAAAAGTTTAAGACACGTTCCTTTACTCTCAATTTTGCTTTCAATATTAATTACAATTATAAAAATATAATAGTTAAGATATATAATTACCGTACTTTGAAAGTTATTCACTTCCAATTTACAGCAACCATTCTTTTTTACTCTTTAAATGCAACTACAGTACTGTATACACTGTATGATGCATTTCAACACCATGAAGAACAAATGATCTATAAAGATTTCAAGATTGCTAATTAACATTGATGTTAAATGATTTATATCACATTTCCTTATTTTGTATGCATTAATTTATTTGGTTGTACAGAACTTGTATTGTATTATGTTCTTCTAATGCTGCCTCTAACACATGAAAGCTTCTCATTATTCTAACACGCCAATGTATACAGCCAGTATACAATATGTATTGGTTTTCATATTGTGACCAATTAATTTGTGCAATGAAGATATTTCAGCTAATAGTTATTTACTATTTTAACAGCAACTAATGCATTTCTGAAGTGAAACATCCGGTATGCAAAATGATTACAGTTCAGCTTGGAAACTTAAAATGTTTACATACTTTGAAGTGGGAGGTTAACAACTCCCTGGCAAGAAATAATACTAATCCGTATAAAGCAAAGTGGCTCATAACGTCCCTCTACTCTTGCTTTCTTAACGGTCTTGACGAGCAATAAAAAGTATACTACCAGTAAACTTTACTAAGTATCTAAGTTGTTTGGCAGTCACCTTTGATTCTTTAGGAAAATTGAAAATATGTACAAGCATTATACAGGATACAGATCTGATACTGTGAGATAAAATTACTCTTTGGTAGACTTGTTTCAAGTGTCAATCCAGTGCAACTATCACAATTATAATAAGCTGCTTAGCATAGCTTCAAGACAAAAATATTTACAGAAATCATGGAAGAAAAAATGAAGGACAAACTGCATGTGCAGCCCTGTTCAAAGACAGAGAAAGGTATTTTGATTGGAGACAGGCATAACATATATAACCTCTTAAGAGTTCAGCAATTGAAGATTACCATGCGATAATCGTCTTGTTTCTCGTCTGATGCAACGAGGGCAACGGATTGGAGAAAAGCAGCCAGCATGGAAACAAGCACTGCAAGTATTACAGAGTGCAGTTGAATCCAATTGAAATGGAAAGATAGCATCTCCTAGGCCACATACTTCACAGATGAAACCTCGTCCCAAGCATACCTGCAAAAAATTATTTACTGATATTAGAAACAATGATGAGCATGTGATGAGCTGGTAAAATTCTTTTCAATGCACTAGTACTGTAAGAGTTTATTTTCAGTAGT